GGCGAGGTGGAGGAGTCTGTGAAGCCCTACGCGAGGATGATTCCGCTGTTGTTGAAACATATGGCACCACCGGAGCTCAAGAAGGGTATGAAGGAGGGGCAGTTTCATATCTACATGTATAAAACAGCGGCACTAAACAGACAGACAGGTGCAATGCAGCTCTGTAGATTTGGTATTTTTATTTGGTAGACTTTTAACTAATTATCGGGTACTTGTTATCAGGTGATTGTGGCGTCTTTACTTTGAAGACCATCGAGTGTTTGGCTTTGTGCCATAAATGGGACCAGCTGAAAGATAGCAACATGCCTCTCATTCGTATGAAATACGCAGCTGAGATTTTTGATGAGGTACATGAAGCAGAAGAATCTCGGATGTCTGATCCTAACCCTCGAAGTTTATTTGATGACAAGTACGGTTTACAGACAGACTCCGCTAACTGAGATCTTCGTTTGGTAGACCTTTGGGATCTGAGATCGTTTTTTGGTAGATTTAATACTCAGATCCAAACTAATTGGTAGACTTTTGGTATCGGATGTTGTATTTTGGCCGATTTATTACTCATAGCCAGCCTCTTTGGTGGTCTTTTGGAATTTAGGCGTCGCTTGTGTTTTGGAATTTAAAGCGAATCGCCATGGCTGTAAAAGGTACCTGCTTTGTAGATTTATAACATGATTGGTACATTTATTCCATGAATGGTAGATTTATAACATGACTGGTAGATTTACTGCAATATTGGTAGATTTATAACATGACTGGTAGATTTATTCCATGAATGGTAGATTTATAACATGATTGGTAGATTTATTGCAGTATTGGTAGATTTATAGCATGATTGGTAGATTTATTATTGTAAAATAGTAGAGTTTAGGTAAAACAAGTTCCAAATTTACAAGTACGTAAAACAAGGTTTTCAAGTGGATTATTGCAGTCTATAATAGTACAAATACAAGGTTTTTGATTTGTCAACTAAGCTCGACAAGTTAGGCGATTATGTCCGCCTTGGCCACAGTTACCACATTTGGGGATCTTCCGAGGACGTTTACTCGCCATGGCGGCCTCGAACGCACCCTTAATCCGAGTTTAGGTAAAACAAGTTCCAGATTTACAAGTACATAAAACAAGGTTTTCAAGCGGATTATTGCAGTCTATAATAGTACAAATACAAGGTTTTCGATTTGTCAACTAAGCTCGACAAGTTAGGCGATTATGTCCGCCTTGGCCCCAGTTACCACATTTGGGGATCTTCCGAGGACGTTTACTCGCCATGGCGGCCTCGAACGCACCCTTAATCCGAATTTTCTTTGGTCTGCCGGGTCGGTTGCGAACATCAGGCGGGAGACAAATTTTGGTTGCTACTTCATCTGGCACAGGGAGTGCTACGTCTCTTGGCATCACACTAACAGCATACGCTTGTTGCAAGTAACTAGTGTGGTAGTAATGATGGCAAAGAGAGATCGGCGACAACTTCCTCCTATCGGCGGCGGCTATGGCATGTACGCAAGGAATTTTATCCAAATCAAACCGTCGACAAGTACATGTTTTCTCCGTTAAATTGACAACATGTGCAGATGTTGTGCCTAAAACCTCTGCACGATGCTGATCAATCTCTTGCACAGGTAAGAGTTTAGCATCTTCAACTCTAGCCTGTCGGCAAGGAATTATTCAGAAGTTATATAAGTCTACCACATAGAAGTAATAACTCTACCAAATAATTGAAAGTCTACTAAATAGCAGAGATAAGTGTGCCAAGTCTACCAAATAAAAGAAAGTCTACCTAATAGCAGATACAAGTCTACCAAATAAAAGAAAGTCTACAAGGTAAAGTAGTGACTACCTCCAGCAACTTTTCAACGCCCGTTGTTAGAGTGGTAGCCATGTTATTGGCATTCACACGTCTTTTAGCAAACCACCTGGTCAGGAGACTCCTTATATCATCCACTAGTCGTACGATAGGCTTACCTCTTGCAGCAGAACGCCCGTTGTTAGAGTGGTAGCCATGTTATTGGCATTCACACGTCTTTTAGCAAACCACCTGGTCAGGAGACTCCTTATATCATCCACTAGTCGTACGATAGGCTTACCTCTTGCAGCAGATAGCACCTTGTTTAATGACTCCGCTATGTTGCTAGTGGTGAAATTGTACCTATCACCTTGGAAGTGTACACGACTCCACATACAAATATCTGCCTTCACCAAGTATGCATGCAGTGCAGGATTTGCCTCTTGAATCTGAGCAAAAAGGGCATTGAACTCGAGAAGTCTATAAGCAGTGGCAGCCTTCTTAACAAGCTTGAATGTTTCAGCGCCTCTGAATTTCACCATAATGTTCTTATGGAGATGATATGTACAAATACCCCGACTAGCAAGAGGATAAACCTTCCCTATAGCATTTCCTATGGATTTATGCCTATCAGAAATAATGGCAAGTCCTTCATCATCAGGAATAACACGGTGTAGTTGTGTAAAAAACCATTCCCAAGACTCATCGTTCTCAGTATCAACAACAGCAAAGGCTACGGGAAAAATGTTGAAGTTTCCATCTTGCGTGGTGGCGAGTAGTAGGGTACCTTTGTATTTTCCATGTAAAAACGTACCGTCGACCACTACCACTTTCCTCATGAAGGGAAACCCCTGTATGCTTGCGCCAAATGAGAGGAACATAAATTTGAATCTATCTTCCTCATCAACTTCTAGCTTGATTAGTGTACCCGGATTTGCTCGCCGAATCATATATAAGTATGAAGGCAGATCTTCATAACCACTTTCAGACGTCCCTGATACTAGTTCTCGAGCATACTTTAGGGCCCGATGTGCTTTCCAATAGTCAACCTTATAATGAGAAATAATATAGTGACGTCTACGAAATAAGATAATAACTCTACCACAAAAATTATAACTCTACCATGGTAGATAATAACTCTACCAAATAAAGTATATAAGTCTACCAAATAAATTATATAAGTCTACCAATTGAGCTAATAACTCTACCAAAAATTAAAAAAAGTCTACCAATTGAGCTAATAACTCTACCAAAAAATAAATAGTCTACCAATTGAGCGAATAACTCTACCAAAATAATAAAAGTCTACTCAAAGAGATAATAACTCTACCAAAGAAATAATATAACTCTACCACATACCTTTATACTATATCGTTTGGTCAGAGCTTCGGCGACGTGATTTGGTAAGACTTTTGGGCCAACACCGCCGACGAAGTCCTTATATAGATGGCCTAGAACCTCATGGGTTGCATGGCGGGTGCGTTGTGATCGCACAGTCACAGAACACGTGTGTTCTCGAGTATAAGTTTTAACCCAAAAACATTTGCTGCTCCCAACAGTTGAAGCGCGAACCCTCCATTTGCAACCATCTACCCAACACTTAACAGTTAGGCAATTTCTTACTCGAATGATCGACATTGTAGTCGAATTTGTGAGCAATGGAAAGA